ATAAAATATTATTGCCTATTATATATACATGTTGATCACAATTTCAAGTTATTAACGAACTGGTTACTTCTTATACCAGTGGAAGGCATGAAAACAGTCAGAGAATAACAGAAGTTTAAACTTGAACTGTGAATACGGAGAATATATATTTCAGGGTAAAGTATCCATTTATCATATACAGACTTTCTTTGCAATGACTATTAGTTGAATTCTAATAATTCTTTCTTGAATTACTATCATACTGAATAAATACATAACTGAGACTGTCAAACTATAAACGTTTACTATTCTAAAAGATGATCACACTGAACGATTACATAATCTCATTCTTAATAACTTATCATTAATGATACAATGTTCCATATATATATATAATGGTAGTAGTGGTAATGGTATTAGTACTTGTATTAGTGTAGTGTATGTTACTTATGTAAACAGACATAAGTAGTATATCACATTAATCTTAAGAAAACATATGCCCACTGTTAGATTTAATTCCGTGTCCCTCAGAGGTTCATTTCAATGTGAATTTTTCATATGAACGATCTCAAGAAGTTCAAACTAGAAACAGTTATTCAATACTCTCTGTATATAATAATGTTTTTTAATCAATCACTATGAGTTTAGAATTAAAATTGTCTTCAAATTATATAAATCTTTACAATGTCCATTTAAATATTAAATAATACCTTAAATTCATTTGATGTTGTTTACATGTATCTTCCCTTTATTATATAGGACTGCAATTGATCAGTCTCTTATTGACATATGTACATCCTGTGCGAACTGCCTCGATATTGCCTTAAGTCACAACTTTTATAAGCAAAGATGGATAGTGGTTAGCAGAGGATTCTACTTCAGGCAATATCAAGGCAGTCCGCACAGGATGCATATAATCCAATAAGAGACTGATCAATTGCAGTCGTAAATAACAACGGGAAGATACAAGTATACAACACCAAGTGAATATAAATTCACCCCATTGCACAAGCAAGTGAATATTAGGATTTAGTAGCTAAGTGGATAATGTGATAAAGTTTGAAGTGGACGGTATTGGGTTCGAGTCCCAGAGTAAACATCAACTCCGAGATGCAGGTACATTCAGCTGAAGAGTTCCAAATAGGACGAAACGCGTGTCATGGATTCCACTGCTAGTCACTATCCATCTTTAATAATATCTTATATTTTTTTGAATTACTATCAATATCATTACTGTACATCTTATCTCCTCCTTTCATTTGATTGAATAATAACAACACGCAGCCAGATGTTATTAACTATTGCCAAATAATATCAAGCCTTAGTTTATTTATTCAATCATCATTAAATTATCAATAATATTTATTCTATCTATTCTTTTTATAAATAGATACATTTCAATATAGAAAATAAACAATAGAATGATGATTGAAACTATATGACAATTAATGAAATATATCTACTTATATACTACTTATATACAAATAATAAACATGTGGTGATATCACTATTATTATCATTATTATTATTCACTGCTAAACGAAATATATCACAATAGTTTCCTTCGTATTGTGCTTGTAAAGAGAATGTGTATGATTGAGAAGGAAAACAAACAAACAAAGAAACAGGCAAACAAAGAAACAAACAAAAAAACAGACAAACAAACAAACAAACAAACAAACAAATTTGTTCATTACACATATATTCTCATACAGTAAAAATATTCTGGAAAAAAAACAAACTATTCTATTGTTTAAGAAGCATTAATGGATAGTGGCTAACAGTAGAATTCAGTTTGATGCGCGTTTCGTCCTATTTGAGATTCGTCAGCTGGATGTACCTATTCTGGGACTCGAACCCAGTACTTCCACTTCAAACGTCATCGTGTTATCCACTCACCTACTGAGTCCTGATAGTCACTTGCTTATGCGATGGGGTGAAGTTTAAATTCATTTAGTATTGTTTGTTTGAATCTTCCCATTGATGTTTAGGAATGCAACTGATCAGTCTCTAATTGGCATATGTGCATACTGTGCTTATTGCCTCGATATAGCCGCACAGTATTCACATATGTCAATTAGAGACTGACCAGTTGTAGTCCTAACACATCGATGGGAAGATTCAAACAAACAATACTAAATGAATTTATTCTGTTCTTTTATTGCTTTGTTTGACTGAACATAGATAATACTTATAATGATTTCAGTAGTTATATGTAACTATACATTGATTCATTCAACTTGCTTAGATATATTTAATTAGTCTGTCGAAAAAAAGTTTTTTTTTCAATTATCATGTTGTTGTTTTTTAATAATTTTTACTCTTCAGAAAATGATATGGTACTTTGCTTATGCTTTAATGTAAACAGTTGATTAATTTTATATCAAGTATTACAGGTTTAAAACTCCGCCTGTATCTAGAGTTACTGGAGTTCAAAGCCAGTTCAAAGCCCGGGTAAAGGAGGAGTGTTGAGTATGCGGTTAACGACCCCATCCCGTAGAAAAACTAACTCGCTAAAAAAATGCTAACGAGAAAAGTAATTACAGGTTCATATAATGAAAATAAATATTTAAAGTAATTATTATTTACATATTTCTTAGTTGACAACAATGTATGTTTAATATTTGGGTGAGACTATATAATTTATGGAGGACTTTTAAGGGACCCTAGAATGACCTCAAGACTGTCTACATAATAACTATGACCAAATGAGGATTATAAACCTGTGTGAGGAGTTGGAATTATGATTTACAGTTCACGGTTAAGGTTAAGAATTATACTTAGAGTTTTCATTACGAACTGACAGTGAATTCCATCAGCTATAATGACAAAACTCTATTTATTCAAATGGATGAGTTGATTTCGCTCCAAAATCCGAGACCTATTATGTTATACTTGATTAGTTTTTCCATAAATTATAGTCTCGCCGATATTTGTCAATTAGATTTTACATCACTATATTAATTATTATTGTTCTTAGTAAAAGATGAGGGAGATGGTTAAATTTGATTGAAAGTATAAAGGTGTATAAGTTAAATAACTGTTGAAAACCTAGGAATTCTGAATGGTCATTTAGTCCTTGTTTAAACTTCTCACTAGTGAGTATTCATGACCTTGTGCGGAAGACTGATGGTCCTGGATTCAATCATCCGGTTTTGGTTTGGGGCTGCTCACTACTAGGGAATCTTATACAACGAGAAAACAACTACTCAGTACTCCCACGTTTTAAAATGTTGTCTAACTTAGGTAGGTTCATGATTTAAATGTTATTGATCTTCTGTTTGAGATGTCACCTGAAAATACATAGAATATTAAGGCTACTGCAAAATAAGAATTTCTTGCGTTAGAAATGCATAAATCATTCCTACGCATAAGCTAAATAGACGTTTGTGGTCTAACTGCCTAGTCCGTTCACTAAAATTTCATGAATCTTCGGATAGTGAGAATTTTTAATTGCAAATACCAAATGTTCCGTTTGGAAATGATCACATTTCCTCGAATGTGGCTAAATAAAATTTTATATTTCGATTGTATCATATATTATTATTTCAGATAGATTACAACTTGTTTTGCCACCCTTAGCTTTCTCACAACCTTCTCTCACTCCAGCCAACGCTATACACTGAAATGGTTAGTGATTAGACATATGTAGCACATATTCTAACTACTTCACTTAATAGCGATTCACAGTTTTGCAAACCGACTTGTCATCGTTGCCTATTACCCAATACCTAACCTTGACATAAATCAATTGGTGATCCAAACATACACGACCAACTGTAGTGACTTGATGGAACCATTTAAATCAAAATATAATCAAAAGAGTTTTGTTTGTATTGTATTTACACTTTTCTTGACTAGGGAGAAGTATACAAATGATATAGCAACTTTCTATTCCTTCATATAACTTCTTTATTTGGAGAAATTTCCTTGAATTACTTCCTGGCCTTCAATGATGGTCTAGCCATTATTAATTCATAACTTAAAACTATGATTAGAATATAATTTCCACCAAATCTCCATATTCTAACATATAAGAATGATTCAGAATGATTCCAGAGACAAACACGTTTTAGTAGCACCACATAAATCAATTATAAATATCCGAACTTCTTTATTGCTAATTCTAATATTAGAGGTGAAGCTTTAACACTTGCGGACTATTTTTGTAGTTGTAATCAAAGATGAATAAGCAGATTTATTGAACACTGAGTTATGTAAAAATTCGGATCATTCATATATATTTGTAAAGAGTTTATACTAATGAATACACTGATAACTGTAAATTTACTTTTTAGTATTAGAAGCGATTTCATGAGCGTTTTGTCAAATTCTTATTTTTCCTCTTATTTTCATAATTGTATAGTTGACCTTTTCTATTACTCCTTTATAAATACTTTAACAAGATGACATATATAAAGCATGAGTCACTTGAAGCTAGACCACCAGGGAAAATCTGAAAGCACCGGACTGCCGTTTCTTCATATTGTGGTACACCTTACCAGTGAGCATCCATCCTACCAGTCTCGCGCCAGAGCGCCAGGTCCTGGGTTCGAATCTCGCGAGGCGAGATCGTGGATGCTCACTGCTGAGGAGTCCCACAATAGGACGAAACGGCCGTCCAGTGCTTTCAAGTTTTCCCTGGTGGCCTACCTTCAATTGACTCACGCTTTCAACTATGAAAATACTAACTGTCCACAAAACCCCCTCTGATAATAATATTAGTATAAGCCGACTTACACAGATTGTCAAGTTTTCATAGTTTCAAATTACGGACTAATCTCAGCTAGACCACCATTGAAAGTTAAGAACAACTACAGAGCTATTTCGTACTAGTATAAACTCCCCATCAATTTACGCCCACAACCCCATGTATAATATCTAAAGTTCCCTGATATCAATTTTTTACTGTCCCAATCTACATTAACTTTCTAATCATTTATCTTATCAAAGATCTATTGAACAATGAATACCAATAGTTATTTAAACTAATAAGTATAATAAGGTCAACCTCGAGTTCGGTAGCTTAGCAACAGACAAAGTAATTAATTTAAATGTAATTCATTATACTGTTTGAGTAAGTATATTTTTATTTCATTTTATACTATTAGACTTGACAATTATTTTTCTTAAACTATCACTATTTACTAAATGTTATCAATGAATTAATTTGAACACATCATGAATTAGTGGGATAGCTCTTCAGATCGATGTTTTTGATAGTCTTGAATAATGAGTGTTGAATGATTTAATTGTCAAGTTTTGTAGATAAAATGCAATGATATTGATTAACCAGTCTCAAATTATCCATATAGTTGTCATTCATTGGAATATTTCTTAGAGCAAGTGATAGACAAACAGCTTGTTGAGGATACCACTGAGGATACAACGGATATTCTAGTTTGGCAACTAGCAACCAGTAGTATCTTCTATAATCGTTCTTTCCCAGTCGAATAGAAAGCAGAAGTCAGACGAGGAAAGGTAGGAAAGATATATTTGATACGTTACCAATATATCGAGGAACCTTTACTATAAGCTGGCTAATGAACGTAGGAGCTGTGTCCCACTCCGTGTTGCAACGTGATCTGGTACGGATGCATGACCGAAAGCCTTCACTTAAACAAGTCCACTTAAACAACGTGGTCAGCATCCAATGACGAACACTTAATGAGCTATTGATTTTGGGGAATTATTTACAGCTACATTGTAATATAAAATGTAGAGTTCTACATTTATATGAGCTGGTTCAAGCAGTCATACCATATCAAGACGGGGAGATGAAATGATCAAGACAAACGTCAGGGCAATAGAAATGACAATAGTATCAGTGATAGTAGGAAAATTTAGGCATTACTTCCTTTCTTACATCTGTTACCCCTCGTAGAGGAGCATAGGCCTCTCACCAGTATTCTTCATCCAACTCTTTCCTGGGAAATGCTTTCCATATCTTCCCAGTTTCTATTCATTCTTTTGATGTCTGCTTCCAATTCCCAGCGCAGTATATCCTTTGGTCTTCCTCCTTTCATTTTCCTTTCAGAACACCACGTGAGCGCTTGTCTCATGTTGCAGTTTCATAATTTCAGTAATGTATGTCCTATCCACCTCCATCGTCTTTTGTTAATTTCCTCTTCAGTTGGAAGCCATTACGTTCTCTCCCATAGTGAGTTGTTGCTGATGGTATAGACAATATAAATCGAGGAGAAAGAATAGAGTTCCGAAATACAAATTAAAAAATAATTTTAGAGCTCGAGCTCTAAGGAGCCAATGTATCTGCCCTATCAAGACTGATTCTGAGCCACGTTACTAATTACTCAACTAGTGGTTATGATAACCACGAGAACTCCAGACGAATAATCTGTACCTACTAACACAGCTAAATCCAATAGTTAATTACTTCATGTATTGATGCCACATTTTGGTTTGGCCACCCCTATTTTTCTTCCAACATATTATTACCTCATCAAACATTGCTCATTAAGATGATGTCCCAACAAGCTTAGTTAATAAATATTCACAACCTTACCAAACGATTGTTATTTTAATCTAGTATCTTGCATGTAATCTTAGCTAACTGAGATATTTAAATGACTAACACCTACCATCATTACTGTTGTTATATAAGTAAAGTATCAATACGAAAGAGTTATAAGAATGAAAACAGGGATTTTCAACGGAACTACACAACTGAACAACACATCCACTTACAATGAATAATTGTGAAACGATCATGACAGACATCAGTGCAATATACCGTCCAAATATTTAATGAAATCTAACTATCAAAATATATATCCGTATTATAAATCAGACGTGAATAAAACTAGATGTAGAATTTTCTAGAAATTATATTTTTGGGAGTAATTTCTTCTTGCAATACACTGTGTTACGCCATCTTCCGCTTTCCTTGACAGCTCTCTTTTTTCTATAATGTTATACTACTAATAATTATTTAGTAGTTTGAGTTATTCTCGACTATTTGTTTGGCTGACTACTCGTTCTATCCGATAACATTACTATTACGTATTCGTTTGGTTCTCTACCTATGACATAATTCTGCATTACATTCATCTTTTAGTTTTTCGTATCAGCTACACATTGAAACTCCTTTTACCTTGAATGATTTATCTACTTGTGATATATAACACCTAATGTTCATTTGTTAATTTCCGATATTCTTGGTTAACATATTGTGTTAGTGTTTTCTGATAGATAGTAAGTACTACAATTTTGTTCTTATTCTCTTGGTCGAATGACTTACTATCACTTCGTTCACTTTTTCCAACACTGTAATTGACACTTGAATACCCCATGGTTTAAGGTTTATAAATTCTTAATATTTATATCGTTTTCTGTTAAGCGATTTTTAGAAAAAATCCTGTTTCCCAGTTCAAAAATAGCACACGTAACCTGATTGTCGAGGAAGATTTCTTAGACCAGCTTTGTGAATACTTTTATTATCATTGGTGCTTTACGTATTCAAGACAATTCGCGTTGTTTTTATGATTTATATATTTCTACTTATGTTTCTCACTCTACATTTGAGTAGATTACTCTTGATGACCTTACTTAACGTCATTGTTGAAGAAATATTGTAACAGATTTGAACCAAGGTTTTGTTACTTTTCACGGCAGCATTACTTTCCTGACATTATCAAATGTTGATTAACGCACTCTGTATGTATTTCCAGAACTTAGATTGCTCACTGAGGAACTATTACTTATCATCCTACAAAAAATCATTGGTAAATCCTATTCGTCAGGTGGCTAATTTCATTTAACTCTAGATCTAACTTGAAACTCTATTCGTGATCCGTTTCACCAAATAAATGGTTCAATTATAAAGCAATTATGGGTACAAATACAAGAAGGGATGAGTTAACAAAACTTCATCATAAGGGGCTAACTACATAAGCTATAGAAATGTCATTGGTTGTTACTAAAATTTGTTTTATTATTTATATTTTGATGTTATCTTTCCTTTACATGACCTCTAACCTGGTACTTGGTTGTCATGTTTCTGATTGGCTGGTGGCTCGGGATTTCTTAGTGTGTTGGCGGTTTTTAAAATGACCTGAATAAAACCTCCTCTATTTTCTGTGGCCTTCAGTAATTTTGATACCAGCTTTCAATTCCACCTAACTATTTTAGGTAGAAAGATATAGAAGCTTATAGATGTTAATACAATTGAATTTTTTTTCTGAGTTGTAAATTTCTGTATATTCTTTAGAGTTGTCTGATAAGTCTTCCTAATTGAACGCTGCACTAGGATTCTAAGCTAGTCTCCTAACCCCCAAGCTAAATCTACACCGGGACTCGAACATGTGAGAAAAGGCGCAAAATAGGCAAGAAGCACTTTACTCCAAAGGTTCATTCATGTACAGAAAATATAGGGTTTTTATGGTACTTTAGAAGTCCTTTGGTTTTCCCAAAAAAATTTGGAATGATATTAAGCATAGTAGCAGTATAGTAATCAGTCAATCAGAAACTCTACATGTGATTTTTAACTTTCGTGATGTTTCTGGCAAAACTCCTACTGAATTTTGATTGGATAAAATGCTTCTTAGTGTCTTCTAAGCCTTTCTTATCTTTTGCGAGAAGTTTTCTGAATTACCCCGACATTATCAGAGAAATAAGTAGTAAATCTTAGTTGAGTATCATATAATCTGTAACTTTGAATGATTCCAATATAATGTGGAAAAATCTTGTTCGCTGTTATATGAATATGTAATATATTAAACTATGAAAACCATATTGAAAAGAATGATATCTGATGTTAACTGAACAGAGACGACATTAATGATATCCTAAGGTTATGTTTAATTTAGTATGCTTTTAAGATAGCAGGATTGAAATTATCGGGAAAATAATATTCCCTCTGAGAGCAGTACCATCCATCACCATCGTGGTTGAAGAATATACTATACAGTTATACAAGCTTCGACGGAATTCTTATTAAAATAAGATGTTTATACTAATCAACTACTCAGTAATGATCAATTTAATCTTACCTTCACCTTAGTACTGATAAAATTTTATCAAGTAAATTACAATTCGGTCACAATTCAGTGCACTGATTTATTAACTTCTTCTGAAGATAAGGTATTGACGGCCTGTTTAAACATCTGGGCTACCTGTTCCTGTTATCTAGATATTTCAACAAGTTATCTAATTTCGTTTGTTTTAATACATCATTATGCCTATTAATCGCACAACCTATTCAAGTGCGTTTCTGAAAAGTGTAAGACCTTTCGCTGTAAAGGTTACAGAAGGCTTATTCAGAGATAACGTGGTTGCTGGCAATATCCAGCGACAAGAATATACATTATCCAGATGTTGATTGACTGGTCTGCTAACTTCTAACCGGCGATCACTCAATATTTATCGTCAGAAAGGACGAAGAAGTAAGAAACGGAAACTTGTTGAAGTACCTTGTGCTGAGAATTCTATATTGTACCAAAAATATAATATTGAATAAAGCTAATAATAATAATAATAATAAAATTAGTGACTATTTGGCTATTTGCTCGCTAGAATTTAATTAATATTCAAGACATGATAGCAGAACTTTTGTTTACTGTTAAACCATCGAACAGTGGACTGATCAAATATACAAACTACTGATCTTTTTACTTATTTAAAATCTAAATTTACTACTGTTATATCTTATATGGGCTTATAGTAATTACTAATACAAAGGAATTAAGTCTTTTCTAATATTTTCGAATTTTGTGGCGGATTTGAAAAAACGGCAATAAATGAGCACCAGCATTTGACTGTTAAAAATCTACACAATAATATGTTATAGAGGTGATGAGACTTTTCAGTCAGTCAGTCACAACGTAGAACTTCGTACGTACGTACGTACGTACATCAGTTCGAGTTGCCATACCACATTAACACAGAGATATAGTTATCGATTCAAATCCCATAGTGGTAGAAGTAGTAAAAGTATAAGCATTAATGTGAAAGATTAGGGTTTAAAGATGTTACTGAAGGAGTATAATCCAATGAAATAAATTTGGAAAAAGAAAAAAGATAGATAAATAAAGAATTGAGAAGATTAGAATTTGGCAGAACTTTTAGGATAATTTTATATTCCAAATAGAAGTCAAAAACCAAAATAAACCATCTATGTGTATAGATTAATTCTCAGTAACCTTGGGACATAATAAAATTAATAAACTTAAAATGACTATCAATTTTATAATAAGAATGGTTACTGAGGAAAAATATAACTCCGCCTGTAGCTCCTCCGGGGGCTACTGCCAGTCCCAAGCTCGAGTAAAGCAGGAGTGGAGCTAATCCATGTCAGGTAGAGACAGGTATCTACCTCAGTACATTGAAAGTTGGTTGCGCAATTTCGTGGATTGGTTGAGGTTAGACATTAACACCGTTGGGTACCAGCTCAGTGGTCTATCGGTTAAGGGCTCTGGCTCGAGACTAGTAGGTCCTGGGTTCGAATCTCGCGAGAGCGGGTTCGTGGATGCGCACTGCTGAGAAGTCCCATAATAGGAATAAACTGCCGTCCAGTGCTTACAGGTTTTCCACAGTGGTCTAGCTTCAATTGACTCATGATCTTAACTATAAAGGAGGAGTGTTGGGTATGGAGTTAGTGACCCTATCCCGTAGAAAACAAAATCGCTAAAAAAAAACGCTAACCAGAGGAAATATATTGAAAAAGTATCATCGAGGTTACTCTTTTAGGTAAAACTTGATTCGTTACCACATAAAACAAGATAACCTCAGCTCTTCTTGACAACCGTCTTCTGATTCATGTTACCAGATTGTCTTAATCCCATACTTGTTTTACTACTAATCATTATCAATTAGTTTCATTATTCGGTGTCATTGAATTCAACGTCCTTACTAAGTAACTACTTCACTTTTTCTTTTATTCTTCTCTCTTCCAGATTCTCTAATATATTCTATACTTCAAACACCTTTTGGATATAACATACTTTCAAGCTATACATAGATTTACCAAAGTTTCAATTGAAAATCCAGATCATTTACTGTGTTTATTATATCATCACAAGGACTAATTAAACAAATGTCTGAAGAGAATAATCATCATAAGTTATTAATGAATGCAAAACTGAAAACAGATAAACGTATCAAAGGAATCTATCGTAAACAAATGTATTACATATTGAACTATTATGTTGTATATCTATACATTTCTATAGGAAAGGAAAACTTCCGAAAAATTTGAAAAACAAAGATGATAAAGATAGAAAATTCTTAAATGATGCCGTCAAGTATTCAATTGAAAAATATGATCTCTTTTGATTGATTAATTAATTGATTTATAGATCAACTTATAGACGGTTGAAATTGATGAAGAAACATTTTATTGATTGTTTAGTAAGAAACTCAATAGTTTTTTTTTTAAAGAATTGTATAATTATTCTAAGCAAAGATAGATAGTGAGTGACTAGCAGTAGAATCCAGGATGTGCGTTTCATCCTATCGTGGGACTCGTTAGCAGGATGTACATGCATATCAGAGTTGATGTTCACTCATGGACTCGAACCCAGTATCTTCAAACGCCATTACGTTATCCACTCAGCTACTGAGTCATGATAGACACTTGCTTGCACACCAAGAGTGAATATCAACTCTGAGATGCAAATACATCCAGCTGACGAGTCCCAAATAGGACGAAACGAGCGTCCTGGATTCCACTGCTAGCCACTATCCATCTTTGCATATAATGCTTGTGAATTTAGGCTATATTGAGGCAATACGCGCAGTATGCTCATCTGACACCTATCAGACTATCTACATATGTCTGACTAAGCAAACAACCAATCATTATCATTCTCATCCAAATATCACTTTTATCTTGTAGACAAAAGAAATGGAATATATAATAGCAAATCAACCGAATGCAATGGAATCATTAAGAGTTAAAGCTATTTTTATGATTGGTTTACAAAATAAAATGATACAAAAAATAAGAAAATCAATTAATCAAGTAAGTATTTGATTAGTTTTACCTTTTTTTTTCCATTTGACAATGGTATAAGCAACATGAAAACACAGATAGAATATCAATTGGTATTGTTTGTTTGAATTTTCCCAATGATGATGTTTAGGACTGTAACTGGTCAGTCTATAATTGGCATATGTGCATACTGTGCGTATTGCCTCGATATAGCCTCCATTCATAAGCATTATAAGCAAAGAAGGATAGTGGCTAGCAGTGGAATCCAGTACACGCGTTTCGTCCTATGCACGTATGCTAATAAGAGACTGATCAATTGCAGTCATAAAAATCAATGGGAAGATTCAAACAAACAATATCAAACGAGTTAAGGCTATCAGGACTCAATAGCTAAGTGGATAATGTGATGTTCCTTTGAAGTGAAAGGTACTGGGTTCGAGTCTCAGAGTGAAAATCAACTCTAGGATGCAGGTACATCAATCTGACGAGTCCCAAATAACGAGCGTCCTGGATTCCATTGCTAGCCACTGTCCGTCTTTGCTTACAGATAGAATAAGTTGGAATAATTGTCAATAGTTTATCTTTATTAATATATTAGGTCCACACTTTTAACATATTTGATTGCTATATTCTTGAAATGAATTTTTTTTTTTAAAAAAAACTCAGAATTGATCTGTTTCAGATCAATGTTAGTAATTATAATACTGTGGTTTATGCTATTTATGTAGATAGATATAAGTAGTATATCACATTAATCATAAGTATAATGTCTGATAGAACAAGGTTGAAAAAATGGAATTGAAGAGAACAGGAATGTAAACAGATGGAGTAATTGTAATAGTAAACGGAATGAAAGAATAATGAAATTTGTAAGGGACAATTGATGGAAGATAATGTAAATGAAGTATTAAATGTATGATTTTCATATTTTATGAAGATACTCTATAATTTTACATTAAACGATAAGTTGATTTTCCTCACTTCAGTGTTCGTACAATACAATACCACAATGGATAACTACACTTATTAGCTAATATTTGATATAGATAATAGAATTTTTGCTACATATTCAAAAAAGACTAGAGACATCAATATACACAAATCAACTGATTTTGTGAATTAATTCTAGTTAGATATTGAATTTATTGAAATATCAACTTGTTATATCTTGAACTTAAATTCTTAGTATGTCGCGTAATACTTAAGCACTCAAACGCTAGAACCCTTCCAAGTCGCAAATTCGGAAGGCAGATGACTAGTAAGTAGGAATGTTATTCCCAAAAAACATTGTCAAACAACCAATAGGCACATAAGGGGGCTTTCTTATTTAACCAATAGGAGAGCACATGTCGACATTCTAAAATGTTCCACTGGCGGTGATTGGACGGAATGTCTTCAGCTCTTTCTGGGCTTCTAGAAGCTTCTTTGAGTTTACCAACGAACCATCCTAACACAACTCAATGCTCTAAAGGTGAAGCACTTTACGAGAGATCGGAGAGTTTCGGATTCAATTCTCTATAGGATAGTAGGTGGATACTTCTGAGTAATCCCATGCTAAGATAAAAGTGATATTCAGTACTTTCAGTCTTTCAATAGTCGCTTAACTAATGTCAATCTATGATATAAATCGTATAACTTCATATAGTTATGTTGACAAAACTTCAGTAAAAGAACAGCAAGTTACAACAAAGTATATTCAGAGACATTGTTGTGGCTAGCAATATGCATTAAAGAGAATAGACATTATTCAGATCTCGACTCCTGAACTATTAACATCTAACTGGCAATCACTCAATATTTATTAATCAAGAAATAAGGAACGGAAACTTGCTGAAGTACTTCCTGTTAAGAATTCTATATTGTACGAAAAATATAGTATTGAATAAAGCTTATTATTATTTCATGAAAGTAGAATAATGCTTGTGATGAAATGAGTACGAAATGGTTAAATTAACAGAAGAATAATTGATTACTAAATGATTATAGTAAACAAATAATTGAAAAAAAGCCATTATACTATACAATAACCAACACAAAATCATATTTTATTTATGAAATTATCAGCAGAAATGAATAGTGGCTAGCAGTGAAATCCAGGACGCGCGTTTCATCCTATTTAGGACTCGTAATCTGGATGTACCTGCATATCAGAGTTGATGTTCACTCTGGGACTCCAACGCAATGCCTTACGCTTTAAACGCCATCACATTATTCACTCAGCTACTGAGTCCTGATAGCCACTGGCTTGCGCAATAGGGTGAAGTTTAAATTTCCTTTGTATTGTTTGTTTGAATCTTCTTATTGACGAGTCCCAAATAGGACGAAACTCGCGTCCTGGATTTTACTACTATCCCCTATCCATCTTTGCTTATAATGCTTGTAACTTAAAGCAATGTCGAGGCAATACGCACAGTATGTAGATATGCCAATAAGAGACTAACCACTTGCAGTCCTAAACATCAATGAGAAGTTTAAAACAAACCATACTAAATGAATTTATAAAATTAGTTTATATGAGAAAAGATTTACATTTTAGATAACAATGAAATAAATTCACCTCATCTCACTTTATCTCCTATTTTTGTATTGAGCATTTAATATTATAACCATTTAGTTATTTTTTTAATTTACATGAAATGTTACCCTTTTGATTGAATATCAGAAAAAAAAAATAAAGATTTTTTATAATTACTTAAATTGATGAATTAGTAGTAGATCAGAAGGGGTTTTATGGAGAATTTAGTATTTTCATATTTGAAATTATGAGTCAATTAAAGTTAGACCATCATGGAAAACCTGGAAGTATTGGATAAACGTTTCGTCCTATTATGGGGTTCCTCATCACTGCGTATCCACGATCCCTCTCTCGCAAGATTCAAACCCAGAACCTACCAGTCTAGCATCAGATCATATAACCGAATTGGTAGTAACTAATCATTTAATTAAAAAAATCTTGTTTATTTATTGATTGATTTCTTTTTAGAACTTGAAAATTGAAAAGATTTTAACAAAAGATTATGATCAAGCAGTTATACGTAGACTGTGAAAATGATACACTTAAATCGGCAATAGTAATGGTTATCATTCTATTTGAAGATAACTTAACATGAATTGAATTATGTTAGAAAATAAATAAATAACTTTGTGTTTAAAATATATTATTTTACAAAATAAGTCTATTTCAACTTCTCCATTGATTATGGAAGGGTATTGGTGCTAACTGTTTTTATAATAATCTGACGCTTAGTCCACATACTTACGCCTGTTATTCCCGATGGAGCATAGTCTGCCGACTAGCATTCTCCAACCCATTCACACTGTCCTGGGCTTTTCTTTATAGTTCTATCCAACTTTTGTTCATTCTTCTCATGTCTGTCTATTTCTTGGTGTAATGTGTTCTTTGGTATTCGTCTTCACCTTTGACCTTCAAGATTCCATGTGAGGGCTTGTATTGTGACGCAGTTATTATTATTATTATTATTATTAGCTTGATTCAATATTATATTATTTGGTACAAAATCGAATTCTCAGCATAAAGTATTTCAACATATTTACGTTTCTTATTTCTTCGTTGCTCCTGATGATAAACATTCAGTGATCGCCAGTTGGATGTCAGCAGTTCAGTCAATCGACATATGAATAATGTATATTCTTTTTGCTGCATGTTCCCAGCAAACACGACATCTCTGATTAGACCTTTTCTAACTTTTACAGCGAAAGGTTGTACAGTTTTCAGAAACGCACCGGAATAGGTTGTGTGCTTAATAGCCATAATGATGTATTAAAACAAACAATATAAGGGAATTTGTTGAAATATATAGATGACAGGAAACAGGTAGCCCAGATGTTTAAGCAGGCCGCCCAGTTGGGTGATTTCCTCAATGTGTGTGCTATCCACTTTCAGGGATTCTTCCCGATTTCTTCCTCCACTAGATGGAATCTGGTTTGTTCTCTCCCACAATAGGCTGTTGCTGATAGTGTCTGGTCAACGGATCCGAAGTATATTGTGTAGACAACTGTTAATAAACACAGGTATCTTCTGAAAGATGGCTTTTGTAGTTCTTCAGATTTCAGCCCCATACAGTAGAACTGTCTTGACATTTGTATTGAAAATTCTAGCCTTGGTGTTAATTGACAGTTGTTTTTAGTTCAAAGTCTTCAATCGTAGATATGTTGCTCTTGCTTTGCCAATCCGCGCCATAACATCTTTATCAGATCCATTGTGTTTATCAATGATGCTGCCCAGATATGTAAAGGTTTTCACATCCTCCAAAGATTCTCCGTCAAGTGTGATTCGATTGGTGCATGGCCTATTGCTTGCTTTTCCTTGCTTTTCCCTTTGTTTATATTGAGACCTACTGCTGCTGAGGCTGCTGCTACACTGGTCGTCTTCTCCTGCATTTGTTGTTGCGTGTGCGATAGAAGAGCCATCTGGCATTCAAGATTACATTTGACTTCAAATGAAATTGAATTTAGACTAACAAATGTTGTTTTAATTTTTTAAGTCTCTGTTGTAGTATTATCTGCATCACTAACATTAAGCTTAATTGTTCAGTAACTTTGTGTATAAAATCAAATCTTCGAAAGGTCATGTAAATCTTCATAGTCTCGAACTCTTGATCAGAACATTAAAATGTCAGATAAGTAATCTTTAATCCCTTTACTATTTAAATATCAAGTCATCAATACTACTCTTTATAAATTTCACTAGATATTACTCTTATAACACATTATGGTTTGAGATTTTACATTATTTATAGATCAGAAGGGGTTTTGTGGAAAATTTAGTATTTTCATAGTTGAAATCACGAGTCAATTGAAGCTAGACCACCATGAAAAACCTAGAAGCACTGGATGGCCGTTTCGTTCTGTTATGGGACTCCTCAGTAGTGCGCAACCACAATCCCGACTCACAAGATTCGAACGCAGGATTCACCAGTCTCGCGCCGGAGCACTTAATCGATATACTAATGAATGACAATATATTTTAAACATAAAAAATCCTCTAGGTTTTTTTTTATAAACCAAATATATTATCCCCCCCCAAAAAAAAAGATCTTTACAATATTACATAATTACAATTTATGTAAATAATGACCATGTTTAATCCATTTCACTAATATCTTGTTTAGGTGGATTAAAATCAGGTATAATATCAAGTAGACATTTACGTAATTGTTCACGACGATATTCACGTTCACGTTGTACACGTTGTATAGTTGGAAAAGTAGTCCAAATTTTAAAATAAACACGTAATAAATACCTAAATATGAAAAGCAAACAGTGAAATAATAATCTTTTAATCAGATAAATTATTTGAAAGATAATCAACTTAAACATATTGAAAAGAACCTTATTCAAAAGTAAACTAAAATTCACTTGACGTTGTTTGCTTACTTTACTTACTTACTTACTTACGTCTGTTACCCCTCATCGAGAAACATAAGCCGCTCACCAGCATTCCCCACCCAACTCTGTCCTGGGCAATCCTTTCGAGCTCTTTCCAGATGTTATTCAGCCTTTTCATATCTGTTTCTATTTCTTTGGCCTTCCTCTTTTCCGCTTCCCTTCTGGATTCCAAGTTAGGTCTTGCCTTGTAATGCACTCCGCCTGTAGTTCTTCAAGAGTTACTGCTGGTCCCAAGCCCGAGTAAAAAAGGAGGGTTGGGCATGGGGTTAGCGACCCCATCCCGTAGAAAAACTAACTTGCTGGAAAAAAAACTCTAAAGTTGTTTGCTTTTATCTTCCTAAATGACAATGGGAAGATACAAGCAAACAATACTAACTGAATGTAACGTCACCCCATGGCACAATCAAGTGGCTATCACGACTCAGTAGCTAAGTGCAAAAACGTTATGGCGTTTGACGTGAATGGTACTGGATTCTAGTCTTGGAGTGAGCATCAACTCTGGGATGCAGGTACATCCAGCCGAGTGGTCCCAAATAGGATGAAAGGCGTGTCCTGCATTCCACTGCTAGCCATTATCCATCTTTGCTTAGAAAACCATAGTATTTCGGATAATTATTTTTTACTGAGTTAGAACAAAATAAGGACTATAATTAAAGTAGAATAATATGTTCTTTGTTCATTCTAATCAGTTGTTTGTAATATTTGTTGAATTGATAACTACCTTAGGGAATTAAAGGTAATATGAAGTTAGATAATCAAAACTGAGGAATGAGAATCTATGAGTTTGAAACAAACAAATGTACTAATATTGAACAATTCTTGTCTAATCTTCCCTTCGTGCATACTAAATTAATTCTTCTTCTGTATTCAGAAAATGTCACGAATAATACTTGATATTTTAAGCAATTCCGGTCGCTAGTTTAGGTTATGTAACGTTAAATTGGCTTTCAATCCATTTGTGTTGGCTGGATTAAAGATTCAAGCGTATCAAAAAATTAATTTTCATCATTCTGTGTACTTCAAACAGAAAAGGTGAAACAGACGTGAATACATTTCATTAATGGAGAGAACCTTTTGAAAAACTACCACTCTGGTTTTATCAATCTTGAGATTTACCATTTAATACAGGTACATCCGGCTGACGAGTTTCGAATAGGATGAAATGTGCGTCCTAAATTCTATTGCAAGCCACCATCTATCTCTGCTTACAAATTATCTTTCCGTTGTAAAATTACTGCTGTGTTTTAGTCATTCGGATTTCAAACATTATATATTTAGCATAAGTTTACATTTTTCTAAATATACTTGATTGAACTGTCATTATCTCAATGTACTCATCAATAACTTGTTACATATTAATGATGATTGTTCTTTTAATCAGACATATCTTGGACATCCACTTATCGTCATTACAGTGAAAAGTTATACTCAAACAATTAGAATATATATATATATGTATATAATATCTGTGAAGATCCTACCTGTTATAATGTTTCAACGCGATTTCCTCTCCTTGCCATTCTTGAATACAAAGATCAGTTACGTACTGGATCCAAAATGAAAAACTACTTCGTAAAAGCTGTCCGTGATACCATTTATTAGCACAAGCTTCATTCTCTTTACGTATTTCACAGGCCTGTATGATAATAATAATAATAATGATAATGATAGTAATAGTAATAATATGAAAAGACACAGTCACAATTATCTATGTTTACAACGAACAACACATAAAGAGAAAAAATCATATTTGTTGACTAATGGGACACTCTTCAACATGTTAAAAAAATCTATGGTTCATAGGAAGTATTTCGGAGTTATGTTTTCTTGATTGTACGGTTTAATCATCAAGCCCCCTAGCCTTTCAATCTCAATCTCATCATAATCACATTTACTTTGGAGAGGAAAATGTAATAATTTCTAATACCACACTCATTTTTGAAGTTGCTGTTGATAGTGTTGTGTAGAAGAAGAATCAGGGTAATACGACTGTAACATCTAGCTCAGAAGAAATTACCAATATTGAAATAAATGATCTACAAAGAACTCTTAATTTACCTTATCTATATGGTATCGATAAAGCCACTCAGCGTGATTGACTATGACAACAAGCGATAAAAATGTGTTGAAGCTCAATGAGATAATTATAACAGATTAATTAGAAGCATAAAGTAACTGACTGCTCTTCTATTTGACTGAATATTTCTTTAATGTACCATTTATCATTTAACAAATTTTAATTACAACTAAAGTGGATTATGCTTGAAAAGGCCTATTTAATTTCATAGGGGATATGTTCCTATCGAAACGTTGCTTCGTTATATAACATGAAGTTTCGAAGTGGAAAAAGCTTTTTCCCGACTTTTTATTTATCGGCATGTTTAATCTGTTGTTTGATTAGCCTTGACTCTTTAGCATATCAATCAATATTACTTATTTATAATTAGTAGTTTGAGTTATATAAACCATTTTTATGATCTAAAAGTGTGTTTTAGGCACAATAAATCACTCATTTAATCCTTTTGTACTCTTATTTTATGTTGCAGTTAGCATTTTTGCTCGCAACAGTATGAATCACTGCTTTCATAGTTTGATTGTTTTTGTGTCCGCTGCTCTTTGCCGTTTTGTTAATTTCGAGTGGCTTTTTTTTGATGCACAGCAAACGATTTGTTTTCATTGGTTACTGATAATTCTACTTGGCACGCTTATTCGTGTTCTAATTTTATTCTTATTTATTTGTTTAGAGGAACCATGTTCACTTTAACTGGATTTTCGTTAGTGTAAATGATATCAGGATACCTTATTGGCTATTGACTCATAAATTATTATTGCGTATGTTATTTTCTATAACAAAACTCATTTCAAACACATTTCAGTTATTTTGGTCTAGAAGTTCAATAGGTTAACCAGTCTTTGACGTTGAATACCGAATGGGATTCTATGCATTTACCAAAATCATACACGTGAGCTACAAATCTTCTCCACCATTCCATGTATCTTCCTAGTAACTTTTCAATAACAGATAATGTTGGATTCTCCCTACATTTTGTTTAGAAAAATTTGGAATTGAAATATGTACTTAAGCTCGAGATACGTTGTAACTGATGAAAGGAATTTATATAATTCTTCTTTGTAGTTTTTCTTATAAAGTCTTTATCCCAACAGTCGAAGTTTAACATAGACCAATATTCAATTCTTTTAATCTTAATGTTGATGTTATCCATGTACACTATGACAACTTCGTTTGAATTAATTAAGCTACAGAGTGGAATGCATTTAAATTACAGTAAATTCAGAAGGTTTTGTGGAGATTTTAGTAATTTTATATATTTGAGATCATGAGTCAATTGAAGCTAGACCACCATGAAAAACCTGGAAGCACTGGTTGGCTGTTTCCTCACATTGTGAGACTCCTCAGTAGTGCACATCCACGATTCGAACCCAGAACCTACCAGTCTCGCGCACTGCTGACGAGTCCCACAATAGGACGAAACAGCCATCCAGTGCTTCCAGGTTTTCCATAGTTGTCTAGCTTCAATTTACTCATGATCTCAACTATATAAAGTGAATTCAATTCAATGAAACTAACCTTCTGCAGTGCTTTTATAGTTCTTTTCATTAGCAATAAATTGTAATGACTTTGAACAAATTTAGATTCTTGTTCATATTTAATTTTTAGGTGTAGTAACCAAGTGTGAAATGCATTTCTGGAAAAAAATGTGACAAAAAGTAGAAAATTTGTATAAAATTAATAATGTACCATATATCAATGTAATTTTCATTATGAATTGTGATCACTTTAACAACTATAAGAAATCTGTGATCAATGGACGGTGATTTTTCTCTACTTCGAGATGATTTATCGGTGTATTCAAAAGACAACGAATATGGCTTTAACTTCAGGAATTCCAAGTAATTGGACAAGTACTATAACAACTGTTATATCTTGTGGCCGAGTGGATGGGTTGTTGATGTGTGACTTGATGAGACCGCCAATTAGGGAGAGCGGATTATCGGTTGGAAGGGTGACACGAAACCCGTACGAGCAGCCTAGAGTGCTAACCGGTCCTGCGATCTGCCTAGCCCAGCCAATTAAGTCCAAAACACCAATAACAGCCTCAGTGGTATGAATCATTATTTACAAACATAATGGGTTTTTATACAAACCAAAGTAATCAATAACTGAGTATAACTCAAGAATCGTATGATAATAAATCAAAGATCAAAATAAAGCTCATGATAAGAGAAACACAAATATGAATCGTTTAGTTACGTAACAATTGTGCAATAGGAAATACGCATAATACATTGGTCGATAAATAGACCTTGGAGTTACCATTCATAATTCACCAGGGGATATAACAACAACCATCCTACAATCAATTTCGATTATAGCCAGTTTTGGTTAAGCCCTTTTTTATAACTTACTTAACAGACATCGTCATTTGGATAGTAACAATTTGCATATTCTTTACACTATTATACCACTAGAGCACATGACACTCTATCCAAAATATTGACTGCTTGAATATCATTCGATGACTCGTACTCCTCCCCATATATGTATTCACACAAATACTATTATCAGCCTTTGTTTTGTTTTACTGTGCCCTTATTAAATTTGACTATAAATTGCCTATGTAATTACTTGCTATTCGCTCGCTTACTGCTCGTTCACTTCTTCGCTTGTTCGCCTGTTCACTCGCTCCCTCGCTTGTTGATATTCGCTCAGGTGTTGTTAGCTTTCCAGCCTGAGTTACTCGACAATAAACTGTATTTGCTGCTATCCTTTGTCTTCTGATTTTATGCACCGTTAAGATTAGAATTATCACGGTTATCGAAGTAAACGATTAACGAATCGCGGCACTACAGTACAATAATCGAGTAAATCATCAACTTGAAATATAATGGTTTTGATGTTGGTTTGTTCTCTGAGCTGGATACCACCTGAGCTACAAATCTTCTCCACCATATCAACATAATAGTCCATAACTTTACCTAAATATAACTTCAATTTTAGTAAGAAGATATGGTCTGTGAAGTAAGTGAAGTCGATATTTTCTTAGTTACCCAATCATAAATCTAAATAATAGTTGAACTATAAATTGAAAGTATTGAAGTTAAAAAAAAATGTAAACCATTATACTCCAACTTAATAGCTTAGTAATTTCGAGCTCGTTTAGATTTCAAATCAGAACAAAAGAGGTATATGTTCACTTCTCTGTGTGCTTTTAGATGCTATACTGATCATTGTCAGTTTCTAACTTAAGTAGTATCTCCAGGTTTTCTCTAGTGGTCTAGCTTCAATTGACTCACGCTTTCAGTCATAAAAATACTAAATCTCCACAAAACGCCTCCCGATAATAATACTACAAATATGTTGAATAGGGTAAATTATATATATATAGTACGAATTACCTCATTATCATTTTCTTGTCATAACAGTTAGCCATTTGCATTAATTCATGTTGTTTTGATACATAATTCATCCATGGTTTAAGACCATAATACCGTAAACATGAAATATTTCTATGAACAGTAACTTTTGAGTTTAATTCACGTTGCCAAGCTAATTTTAATTCTTTTTGTTGTCTTAACTAAAAATGAAAAAAATATTAAGAGTAATAATGTGTTATAACGCTAGAGTTTCTTGTTATATAACGGTCCTGTTTTCCTTCTTTACACGAATGGGACGTTAATTTACCTTAGAGGAATATCTACACTAGGTTCCCTCTCAGTGTCGTCTACTCTATAGGACTTCAACATAACTCAGATCAAGAACACGAGATTAGCCTGACTAGAAACGTCAATATATTTCCACACCAAAATCAGGTACAATCCAACAACAAACAACAGTTAATCAATAATAATAAGGATAGGGTAATATATAACTCATATGACACCTGTCAGACTATCTACATTTCTGACTAAACAGACAACCATCCATTCATAGTCGAAATCATGAGTCAATTGAAGCTAGATCACCATAGAAAACCTGGAAGCACTGGACGGCCGTTTAGTCCTATTATGGGACAACATTCAACAATTCAAACGGTTATAAACAAATTCAATCTTCAGGCTGACAAAGAGGAATTTCTTTGTTGTCTATGCCAATTAGTGAAGAAAATCACTTTTTTTTAAATTAAATTCAATAGAAAACCATAAGTTGAAGAAAGTTGGAAATATGAAACATTGGATTTAAAGTTAGAGACTTAAGTGTTAATCCTTCGTCAAGAGATATGAAAGTGTTGAGTTAGAATTCCGGAAGTATCACAGATACTCAAATGCTAAGAAATATCATACTCAAACAACACATCTATCCAGTGCTTCTTTGTTTTCAATATTTATTTAACTTTGGTCAGTTTGTATAGTAAATCTAAAACTAAGATAATCTTTAAAATCTCTATACTTATATTCTGTTATATATATATATATGGAATGTCTGAATAATTCAACAAAACGTCTACAGGATGACAACCTTTTCTTCAAGAATCTTCTTTTCTTTTTGTTCATTCTTCAGCATTATCTTTTCTTGTTTGATTCTGTTAGCTTCTTCTTCTAATTGTTTAGCTAACTGTTCCTTTTGGTCATAGAAAAAAAAAACAATCGGAAATAGTCTAATATATAACAAGCATTCTTTACTTTGAAAGAAAAGTATTTCATTTCTCATAAAGAGCCGGCGAGACTAGAATTTATGGACGACCTTTGAACAAATCTTAAGTGACCTTGAGAAATATTAGCCAACGACTAAACAGTCAGTATAGAGTAGAAATATATTAAACAAAACCAAATAATTGAAGTGGATACACTTCTTTTATATGGTCCAAAAACTTATCAAGATAAGAAAAAGGTTCAAAGGTTCCAAAATCGTAATGCATAAGGTAGAGGAAATCATTCATATGACTCCATAATACTCGGTCTCTGGAGCCATGATAAGGTCACAAAAACTCTCTCAGCCTCGACCACATTAGCTTCAGTATTTTTTGTATGTACTCCAGTTGTGTAAGTTTGTCATTTTTATTACGCATATATCCCTACAACACTCATACCTATGAACAGTCGAAGCTTCACTAACATCTGTGAATATTGCAGCCAATAATACTGGTGCTTTTATTATACAGTTCACAGCAATTATTATAACTTGCCTTAGACTCAATCTGGATCGAGCGATAATAATTCCTATTCTAGCAAACGTCTTCCTTCAACATATATTACATCGAACGACAACATCACGGTAGCCTGTACAAGGTCTACAAGTCAATAATTACTCGTAATTACAAATAATGGAACTTTTTAGTAGTTTCATTTGTTGTAGCCGCTTAATTGTCAAGTCTTCTCTAAAATTCTCTTTGAACCGATCGTACATGAGCATCAGGTACTGAAATTGGTGCCGTGACCTTGAAATCCCTCAAACGAATTTGATTGGCTCGTCCGTAAATTATAGCTTTGCCAAAGAGCCTATTTACATGTCGACTTTTACAATCAAGCAAACAATTGATTAAGTAAAATTCACTTTGTAACTTCGTTCTATCAACTTTACTCTTTAAAAGTACAAACAGATCATTTCCAGAAGATAACTAGTTCAAAGGTGATAAATCTGACTTCATTTACACATTATGCATAATTCTGAAATTGTTTAGTCAGTTTTCATAGGCTTATATGTTCAAATACGCTTCTAAACTAACCTTTCAATGCATCTACTTTGTACGTTTAATTGCTATGTTGAATGATATGGTGGAGAGTTGAAGGAAGATTAGGAATAAAGAACACTGATTTATTTTCATAGTTGAGATCATGAGTCAATTGAAGCTAGACCACCATGGAAAACCTGTAAGCACTGGACGGTCGTTTCGTCCCATTGTGAAACTTCCCAGCAGTGCACACCCACGATCCCGCCTCACGAGATTCAAACCCAGGACCTACCAGTCTCACGGTAGAGCACTTAACCGATAGACCACTGAGCTGGTAAGCGTTAATATCTAATTTCAACACTGATTTATAAAGGTAATTACTGTTTTTCTATGTAGAAAGTTTTAGATAATTTACTGGGTGTAAAGCATGTTGTATTATATGCATTTTAGTTATGTCATATCTCCCATTGGTAAACTGCTATTATAGACTGATGAATAAAAGTAATTAGAAATAGGTTCACTTTTTTCTTTTGTTCATTTTCACGTCTTCTTTCTTCTTGTATTGCACGTCGACGAGCTCGTTCAGCTGCTCTTTCTTCCATTTCTAAAAGGAATGAAAGATAAATAAAGAACAATGTTTAGAAAACGAAAGCGATAAAGTTGCATCAACAAATTGATGCAATCCATTAGTATTTGAAGTAAACTGAAAATTCAATATGAATAGAAAATAAATGGTAATAATTTTGGATGGTGTGTCTTATTATTGAAACCACGTCTGTTGGGAGATATCAACTCACTGAAGACAATTGGTGAACGGTTGCTCAAACATTGTGGATTGGTTGAAGTTAGGCATTACCACCGTTGGATGCTAGCTCAGTGGTCTATCGGTCAAGTGCTCTGGCGCAAGACTGGTGGGTCCTGGGTTCAAATCTCGCGAGGCGGGATCGTGGATGCGCACTGTTGATGAGTCACACAATGGGACGAAACGGCCGTCCAGCAGTGCTTCCAGGTTTTCTACGGTGGTCTAGCTTCAATTGACTTATGATTTCAAGTATATATTAAACTAATAATTGTAAATCCTCAAAATAGTTTTTCCATTTTATTTTTAAAAGTAACGCATTTTTATTATGTAATAACTTATTGTTATTACAATATCGATATTGTTTGTTTATAATACTATGGTTTATGAAGAATGTCCAATGTAATCCATTTTTCAGTGTCGTATTGGTTCTGCTAAGGTCATAATAAATAAATTCTCTGTGATACTCTCATTTTTCTTTCCTGTTTATGGGCAAATACACAAAGTGAGGTCATAAAAACTTATCTCATATAATCTAGGATAGATCAACAATAATCCACTTAAAATACTTTCTGTGTGATAATATACTTCTTCCACAACCGCTTCTACAGGTTATATCATCCCCAGAAATCTTAAGAAATCATGATCAGTGTTCTAACAGTCGGACCATCATTCATCATTATTGAGGACATACTGAAGGAAACCGAGTGTTTTCTTTAATGTGTTATTCTTATTAACATCATTCAACACTTTATAAATTTCATGTGAGTATTTCTGAAGTCACACGATTCAGTGGGTCCATATATATATATTGAACAGATCATGTTACCTTGTTAACTCAACGACATACCCGACAATATAACAACCTTAATTAAAAATTATAATGTAAAATGTTTCTATTATCTCATTTAATTGTTATAATTTAATTTATTTAATGTTATTTAAACAAGCTTTATAATAATAATTTCGAACTAAAATTTGATAGTGAACTGATTCCCGTAATTTTATAACATATCATTTCATTCTGTGGTGTAGTCTACTTACATCCATATAAGTAGTATATGGTGATGGTCAGACATAGAATGCATTTTGGCAGAAGATCGATAAGGAACGAACAGAAATGAAGCGTAGTTGGTAGAAAAATGTATAAACAATGAAATTAGAGAAGATGGATTGATATTTACAAAAGAAACAGTTAACATTGAGACAACTGATGGTTATTTTGCAAATTAACTGTTCATTGTATAGTTATCAGAATTTAGTGAGATAGTCTGTAATTTATGTCAAAATACATCCGATTGTTCCCACCAGTGTTCTTGTTCACTACAGTACAACATTGTAGTGTATTTACAATAAACCTGATTTGGAAAAAACCTCGTTTAATCAATGCATATAATTTCCTTTATAGGTTACAAGTACCTAGTGTCCCAAAACTTTAAGCATCTTACATTATCACACCCAACTGAAAAGATTATTGTAAATTCATGAACTTAAATTACTTACTTTGAATAAATGAACATTTTTTAATAGTCGGTATATTTTTGGTAGGGATTGATCCTGATAAATCATTGGTCACTAAATGATTATCTTGAATGAGACTTTTAATTTCATTTGAGCTTGTTAATAATAAAAAAAAAACAGTTTCAAGACAGTTAAATTATTTTAGTGATATGTATCAATGTATTGAATCTACTTATTTTTTGAGAAAATTAAATATAAATAGTTGTTTTGAATATGATTAACTTGGAATTCTGAAGGGAAGGAGAAAAGAGGAAGGCCGAAGAACACACTACGACGTCGGGAATTGTAAGCCGATATGAAAAGGATAAACAACTGGAAAAAATTGTCTAGGACAGAGTTGGATGGAAAGTGATAGTGGGCGGTCTATGCTCTTCTATGAGGAGTAATAGGTGTAAGCAAGTAAGCTTGAGTATGAATCAAAACAAATTATGAGTAATTATAATTATTATAATTATAATTTTTTCACTCATTGATCAGTCGAAAAACATTACATAACATGAAATTCATTTTGTATTGGGTATTTAAATCTTCCCATTGATGTTTAGCATTGCAATTGATTGGTCTCTTATTGGTATATGTGCGTCCTGTATGGATTGTCTCGATATTGCCTTAGGTCACAAGCATTCTAAGCAAAGACAGAGTCAAACAGACAGTACCAAGTGAATTTGAACTTTACCCTACTGCACAAACCATCGGGCATCAAGGGTCAGTAGCTAAGTGGGTGGGGATGTGCTGTGTGGAGTGAACGGCAATGGGTTCGAGTCCCGGGATGAATATCAACCCGGACGCAATTACATCCGGCCGACGAGTCCCAAATAAGACGAAACGTGCATAAAACTGAATTCGACTGTGAGCCACCACCCATTTTTCATCACAATTACATACCTTTGTGTAAATATTGTCTGAATCTAGGTCTTTATTTTCTTACATCAGGAAAAAAGCTATGAAAATGAATATATTGAGATCGAACTTACAGAAATAATGATGTTAACCCTAGTAGACAATTAAGCAAGTAAAAATGCACTACTTTAATAGGAACAAATAAGGCCTAGATATATGTGAAAGTAAAGAATATTTAAAACAAAATTCGAAGTTCGGAAGAATGCTAACTGACGTGTCTCGGAAATATGATGATCAAGTAATGAAATTCTTCATAGACCGCATCAGTTTTATTAAGTTTACTAGAGCTCCACTTGTTTTGAAAACATATATGTAGTAAAACTATCAACTAAGTTGTACACTTTGATTAGTGGATACATCCATCCTCAGGTATAAAGTTAAAATGAACTAGATCCAGGAGAGCAATTTTTGACTATTTATAAGCCATTACAAATTATCAATTTGAGATAGTCATTCTTAACCATCATATACAAACTTTGATGAAGTGTTCATTATTTAAACCTAAATAGGCCTAGCCATTGTTGTCCACAACTGTATTAAGATGGAATCAAGATAATCATTGACATCATGAATATCTAAGATGATTCGCCTTAGATACATGTTCAACTTGATATTAACTGTTATCAACCAAAGAATTACTGATAATCAGGAAGTAGTAGACGGTTGTCGTATCTGGATTTGAGTTTTAGTGAGCTAAGATGACGTCACATGGACGATTATGCCTTCAAAACATTATTCTAGGTTGTTTATTAACCAAATATAACATCGGTAATTTATTCAATACATTAATTACCTGAATTTCTAATGTAATTATAAGTAATAATGAAATTACAAGTCACTATCATAATGGTAAATATTTTTAGAAATTATTATGACCCAAATTTTAGATACTTGGTTACATGTGGGGACGTTCAACACATACATTATTTGGGAATGAACTTGATCATCTGTACCATTTTCAACGTGAATTAATGGTTCATTTAATTCTGAGGAAGATTTATCAGCTTCAGTAGTTTTTGTATTTGTCTAAAGTAAAAGGATTTAAATACGGATATCATGTTATTACCATTTAATAACTTGGAAACATATTATTATTAGTAAGGGTTAGAGTTTATCTTATTGTTTTGATTCAATAATAGATTTTAACTAGTTATTATTAGTACGTATAGATCCCGTTCGAACAATCTTAATGTAACCATTTTGTTGCAAGTTATTTAGAGGAGATTCAGTCAGTCAGTCAGCTACAACGTAGGACCAGGCACATATATGCATCGGTTCAAGTTGCCATATCTCATTAGCACAACAAGATAAACACCGAATTCATAGAAGTAGTTTGCATCTACAAACATGGCTCAGACTGGAAGTTATTGACTTCAAGGACTTTCAACACTAAAGTTCCTCTTTCGGCTTCCTCCTCAATTGTCACCATGGCCAACGATACTGGTGCGCGAAACACTGTCTCAGGTCCACTAAAACCTCGCTCCAAACTACACATTGGAGCCCTCAACGTACGTACCCTATGTCAAATTGGCCAGCAGGCCTCCTTGGCTAAGACTCTAGAATCTCGTATGATTGATGTATGCTGTTTGATCTTGAGTACTGTTAGAGGTATGAAGGCAGTTATCACTTCCCGGTTTCGCACACTGTGGAAGGGTTCTTCTAGAGGTACCTGATAAGAAAATTAGATTAGTAGTGGTCTTAGTGACCTGAGAGTGTAACGGCAATGCCAGAGTGGCAACTGCTTGAGGTCGGTCATACACGACCGTTTTGTGAGTAATTTAGAAGAGATTAAATGTAGTTAACAGTGGAACGGCAATAGACTCACGATACGCATTTACCAACAAATGTTGATTGAATTTCTGTGCTGAATTTCAACAACAGAATGATTCAAACCCATACTAATAACAATATTAATGACATCCTTGATGAATAGATAGGTAGCAAACTGCGTTTAGTAGCTCAGTGAATGGCACACTGACACTTAAAATGAAAGGTACCAAATTCTAGACTTGGTTCGGAAATCGACATGGATTCAGGGTGCATTGAACTGAAGACTGCAGAACAGGAAGAAATGCTCATCGTGGTTTCCACTACTAACCATAATTTATCTATTCAACTGGAAACATATTTTAGTCGTCCCTAAACTAAATAATGAAATGATTGAAAATAATAAAATAACTTTTGAGATGATGGAGAAGATTTGTAGCTCAGGTGGGTGATTTTGATGGAGTTTCGTTCTCTGAGCTGGATAGTTTGGTCGTGCTGATGATGTCATTCAGAAGGACAATGAAAGCTCCACGACCAAATAGTCCAGTTCAGAGAACAAAACTCCATCAAAATAAAATAACTTGATAGTAAGTTTGAAAAAATATTGGAAACAACTAAGAAGTTACAAGCCCCCAAAATGTCCTGGTACGACCGAGAGTGGGGAGAGTCCGCTCTCCCTCTCGAAATGCTCTCACATGGCCACGTGAATATATAGCCCCTGCCAGGGAAGTCCTACTCACTGCCTTCTCTCAGCGGGGGTGTTGTTTACGAAATTGAGAGGACGAAAAGCGAATGTCCAGCGCTATAATCGGGTTGGTGAACAAGGCGAGTCCACCTAGGGAAGTCGGAAAACCCTCATTCCAAACCAATGGTGTACATGGGCTTCAGTATCCTGAAGGAACGAATGGCGTATGAACCAATCGTTGGTCACCGGCTACCATGGGACTGCATCTCCTTAAGATGCTCCACTGCCTTGTGGACAAGACCTTCACGTCAAAGGCTCCGGGTGTGGGCCCCTAAGAAAACCAGCTGCTTCAGTTTGGGCACCTGGGCAGTATCATTGCCTTCAAATATGTGCCTCACAAATCAAATGAGATTTGTGAGGCGCATATTTATCTGGTGCTTCCTTGTACCAGTATTTATGTGTTTAAATAAATAAAATAAAATAAGAAGTTATAAGTAATAATTCCTGGTTTGATTCCAAGAAGAATTGCTTCTTTTACTTTTTCCAGTATATTCTTAGCTAATTTATGTGCTCGTGCTTCTAATAACCATTCAGAATAACGATGTGCTGCTTTTAATGCATTAATTTCACGATTTTGTGCAGCAATAATATTACGTTGTTGTATAATAGTTTGATTTAAAATTGGTTTCATTACACTTGATTGAGCGGATAGCATACGATTGATCTAGAATTTAAAATAGAAAGAAAGATAAAGGTGTTATATATATGATACAATTCCAGTAAAGCCTTATTCCATGATGTAATCCATTGGTAGATAGAATTTATTCAAAACTGACAATCGTGATATAAAAGTCTTCGATTTTTAACCGTTAACCATCAGGTGTACATTTCATTTCACTTAATACTGTGGTGTGGTGTACTTATATCCATATAAGTAGTATATGATGATGATCAGACATAGAATGTATTTTGGCAGAAGACCGATAAGGAAAGAACTGAAATGAAGCGCAATCAGTACGAAAATGCATGAACAATGAAATCAGAGAAGACGGACTGCTATTTACAGAAGAAACAGTTAAGATTGAGACATTTGATTGTTATATTGCAAATTACCTGTTTGAGGTATGGTATGGTATCACTAGCCTCTATACTTAACATATATGTTGAGTATACATAGCCGGAAAAAAAATTTGTAGCTGAAGTAAATCAGTTTATTAATATTGTATTCTCTGATTTGGGTTGTCAAATTCCAAAGATTTCATTACCATTTACATAACACCACAAATTTGTTTGTATCTTCTCATTGTTGTTTAGGACTGCAATCGATCAGTCTCTTATCAGTATATATGCATCCTGTGCGGACTGCTTCGATATTGTCTTAAATCACAAGATTTATAAGCAAAGTTAGATGATGACTAGCAGGCACATCCAGCTGACAAGTCCCAAATAGGACGTCCTGAATTCCACTGCTATCTATCTTTGTTTATAAAGTCATCCAATCTACTAAATCAATTCAAAAGGATGTAAACCGACTTTGAAACATCTTTTTTATCATACTTATTTAGTGTTTAGCAGATTATTATTTCAAATAGTATGTGAAATTTCATTCACCTAATAAGTTAATGTTTTTACAAGTGTATATAACCTTGTAGTGCCGTGCTTCATTAGTCGTTCACCCTGACAACCGTTATTATACCAATCTTAACGGCCTATAGAATCAGAAGGCAAAGAGAAGCGGCAACTACAGTTTTATTGGCAAATGACGTAGACTAGAAAGCTGTGAGCACATGAGAAAATGTTAGCGAGCGAAGCATACATGACACGTATTGCAGATGGCTGGTAAGCTAACTCGAGAGCGAAGCGAAAATAATGCGTATTGGAGATGGCTGGAAAGACAACTCGCTATGAGCAAGCATTACTCAATATTTATAATCAGACAAAAATGAATGACGGACATATGATGAATAGGATACAAAGGGTACACATATACGCTGATATAAAATGGTAGTCAAGGTTAATAAGTGAATATTTAACAAGATCAAAATATGACTCATAATGTATAAATGAATTGTCTTGGCCAGTAGCTAGAATAAAGTATGTGGGCTTAACATGTAAACTGATACTACAACCTTTCTACAAGATTATGTAATCAATTACCTTTGGTTTTTGTGATTTTCTATCCGTTAAACATTTACGATTATCAGACGGTATCATTTCATGATTTTGATTATTATTATTATCATCAGGTGTTGATGTTTCTGTGTGATGGTTGTTCATTAAAGTATCTAACTGATTGAGAAATTCTATTTCTTTTTCACGTCTGAATGATTCTTTTTCCAACTGATCACGAGTTGACTATGAAAAAAAGATGTATAAGAATGAAGGAAATAACCTTTCACTTAGCTGATATGAAATAATCGTATCGTCTGGAACAAAAATCAAACCAATAGGAGATACAACAAAAACAAGAAAATAAACAATGACAGATTTAAGATCGATAAGAACCAATCAACATCGAGGTGTACAAGACAAGCTGTGAATCTCATGTGGAGGAATTCAAACAATTCACTTCTACCCGAAGTTTATGCTGATGATGTCGTTCAGAAGGACGATGAAAGCTCCACGACCAAACCATCCAGCTCAGAGAACAAACCTTCATCAAAATCACCCACCTGAGCTAAAAATCTCCACCACAACAAGTAATCGTATAACTCACTTAGTATTGTTTGTTTGAATCTTTCCATTGATGTTTAGAACTACAACTGGTCAGTCTCTAATTGGCATATGTGCATCCTATGCGTATTGCTTCGATTTTGCCTTGATTCATAAGCATGATAAGCAAAGGTGGATAGTGGCTAGCCAATAGGATGAAACGCGCGTTCTGGATTCCACTGCTAGTCACTATTTATCTTTGCTTATAATCGTATAACTGTTATGAAATATTAATTATCAGAAGGGGGTTTTGTGGAGATTTAGTATATTTGATAGTTGAAAGCATGAGTCAATGGAAGCTCGTGGATGCGCACTGCTGAGGAGTCCCATGATAGGACGAAACGGTCGTCCAGTGTTTCCAGGTTTTCCATGGTGGTCTAGCTTCAATTGACTCACGCTTTCAACTATGTTATTAAATAGGTTACTGAAGGACTATTAAGTAATCAGTAATCAATCCAAAGCAGTTATAATATTCTAAATATTTTTTAGAAATGTTACTCAGTTAATATCCGTTCATGATAAGGAATAAGCTCTACTTTATATAAAACTCTAAAACATTGTCTAATTTAACTATTACCTAATTGAATTATTTTCAAGAGAATGCTTCTGTCTTATGAGAAGAAAGCACCGAAGACCGGATAACGCTTATTAAGACTGTTACAAATAGGTATAACTCTGAAAAAAAAACTCTACACATAATATTATGTAACTCAAAAGAATATAATTACAAAAGAAGGTAAGCTAGATTTCCTTTATAATATAACTTCAAGTAATTGAAATAGTGGAGGACATTTGTAGGTTAGGTGGATGATTTTGGTGGAGTTTTATTCACTGTCTTGGACGGTTTAATCGTGAAGCTTTCATTGTCCTTGTGAACAATGTCATCAGAATAAACTTCAGGTAGAAGTGAACCATTCAACCCTCTCTATATATCATTGACAGTTTTACCTGTTGATCTTGATTCAGTAATTCTAAGAAACAATTATCATTATCTCTGTTCTCATCTAGGTGAACGCTATAATATATTTTGACTTAGATCAATGCATTTGGATACATAAAGAAACGAATAAATATACATATTTTTTGATAGTTGAGATAATGAATGAATTGAAGCTAGACCACCATGGAAAACGTGGAACCACTGGACGGCCGTTTCGTCCTATTGTGGGACTCCTCATCAGTGCTCATCCACGATCCCGCCTCGCGAGATTCGAACTCAGGACCTATCAGTCTCGCGCACGAACGCTCAACCTCTAGACCACTGAGCCGGCGGGCAACCAACGGTGTTAATGTCTAACTTCAACCGTTCCACGAAATTGAGCGACACATACTCCAATGTCTTCAGTAAGTTACTATCTCATAACAGACGTGGTTGAACTCCACAATGAAACAGTAATTCTTGGACCATAGATTTTTAATAAGATATTATCAAGAAATTAGTTCAGTTGGACTTTCATAAATAAAATATTATGTACTTACTTTCTCCATTCGTATTGTATAGTTCCAACGTGTAAAACATTGTTTCAATAAAAAGTTTTCATGAAATTGTTTAGCTCTATATTCTTTCCTTTAAATAAAGGAAATCAATAAGAAAAATTATACAAAAGTCACTGATATTTTATTATAACATTACTAGTGTTTTCATTTGATGGAACCATATGTAATGAAAGTGTAAGGATGGTTCATTGGTAAACTTTAGAAAGCCTCAAGAAGCCCAAAAAGAGACGAAGACATTCCATCCAATCACCGCTAGGGTAATATTCTAGAACGTCGACGTGTAGCTTACCCCATTGGATGGATAAGAATAACCCCCTATGTACCTATTGGTTGTCCGAAATGATGATTTACTCTCAGTCAAAAACTATAAATACATGAGATTTCTGTACTATGTTTTGACACTGTTTTAGGGAATAAAGTTCCTACTTACAAGTCTTTTGTCTTCTCTCTTGCGACGATGCGGGTTCGATCGTTCAAGTGGTCTAGTAGTACGCGGCATAGTAAGAATCAAAAGCTCTAGATATAACAGAAAGCTATATAGATGAGTAAAAGCTTATTGTGTAGATACGTTATGGGATTGTTCCTATTCTTAAAATCTTATTAGCTCTGTATATTTTCACCAGTCGATCATAAAACATTTAGTTTACATTGTATTGTCGTGTTTTCTTCTATGAATATGCTTTAAAGATGGAACTGTTCCTCCACATTAATACCTTCAACATTATGAGTATAAAACTAACCCTGCTAATACTTCTATGAAGTGATCTAATCTCAAGTGAGTGACTTCGTAGCCAGAGAAAAAGCAATAGACAAGATGATGAAGTCTTTGGAATTCTAGTGATTAGAATAAGTTAGACATATGTAAGGCGCTGTTATCAAACAGTTGATTAGTGTAATTGATTAATTAATAGTTTAACGAATTATATGAAATAGTCAATGAGATTAACCTAAAGAGAAATTACCTGCTTTACAATTAATCTGACGATGAAGTGAAAACAGTTAACTGAAGGTAGTGATAATGAGTTAATCTTCACAAACTACTTAACCAAGTAATAACCAGGTTCTCAATAGTGACTGACTTCAAGAATTATTTCAATAAGTTATTACTGATGGATTTCAAATATACTCGAGTTTAAACAGTTAAACAATTATCAAACGGAGTGACTACGACAAAGTGAATGAATTAAAAATCTAGTATTCTAAAGGTGACTCTCTCATCAAGATAACGGATGGTCATGAGACTGATCTCATACTGAAAAGCCTAAATCTCTACAAATTTATAATTCCAAATATAATATTTTTTGAGTTTACATCCAGTATATTAATCTTAAATTCTGATAGGCAGATCATTCTATAAAAGTATCAATAGGGTTAGTTTTGTACTGATAACATATTACAGTAATCAATGAGAAGTAAGAGTTGGCTTGAAAATGTGAAGTATTTTGTGTAGTAATCGACTAGAAAACAGAATAGGATTGAGTCATTAACAATGTATGAACATTTTAGGTATCAAGAAAAAATTATACAACAACATAAAAAGGGTGAGGTGAAAAACGGTTATAATTATGAAGTATGAAAGGATAACAGATTGGGAATGCTGCTTAGACATACAGAGTTCAGTTCAGATTTTACGGCTTCAGTAAATGGAATAATAGAAAAGAAACTTCGGAGAGACTATAATTTATGGACGAGCCAATCAGAAGCGTCACAGCGCCTATTTCAGTACCTGATGCTCAGAAAACGTGGCAATTAAGCGGCTACAATAAATGGGACTACTAAGAAGTTCCTTTATTTGTAATTGCGGTAATCAACTGACTTGTAGAACTTGCGCAGACTTCCTTAATGATGTTATCTTCCGATGTAATATATGTTAGAGGAAGAAGTCTGCTAGAATAGGAACTTTTTTCCCTCGATCCAGATTGAGACTAAGGCAATTTATAATAATTGCTGTGAACTGTATAATAAAAGCACCAGTATTATTGGCTGCAATATTCACAGATGTTAGTGAAGCTTCGACTGTTCATAGGTATGAGTGTTGTAGGGATATATGCGTAATAAAAATGACAAACTTACACAACTGGAGTACATACAAACAATATTGAAGCTATGTAGAAGAGGCTGAGAGAGTTTTTGTGACCTTATCATGGCTCCAGAGACCAACTATTATGGAGTCATATGGATGAGTTCCTCTACCTTATGCATTACGATTTTGGAACCTTTGAACCTCTTTCTAATCTTGACAAATTTTTAGAACCATGTAAAAGAAGTTTACCCATTCTAATTCCTAGGTGTTGTATAATATATTTTTACTCTATACTAACTGCCTTCTGATTAGCTAATATTTCTCAAGGTCACTTATGATTCGTTCAAAGGTCGTCCATAAATTATAGTCTCACCGAAACTTCTTTTCACTAGGTTACTTTCATTATTATTATTATTATTAGTTGTAGTAATAGTAGTCTGTCTACTCTCCTCATTCCTTTTCCTTCTAGTGATTGACTGGATTATGAAGACTTCGACATCTGAGGGGAAATACGGAATACAATGGACAGCTCAGAATCAATTAGATGATTTGGACTTCGCAGATGACCTAGTCCTCCTCTATCATACACACGAACAAATACAGACGAAGACAGAAAATGCAACAGCAGCCTCTGCATCGATAGGCCTCCACATTCACAAAGGAAAAAGCAAGATTCTCAAATACAACACGGAGAACACCAACCCAATCACACTTGATGGCGAAAATCTGGAAGAGGTGGAAACATTCACGTATCTGGGAAGCATCGTTGATGAACAAGGAGGATCGGATGCAGATGTAAAGACGAGGATTGGCAAAGCAAGGACAGCATTTCTACAATTGAAGAACATATGGAACTCAAAACAACTCTCAACTAAATTCATAGTGAGAATCTTCAATACGAACGTCAAGACAGTTCTACTGTATGGAGCTGAAACGTGGAGAACTACTACATCCATCGTCAAGAAGGTACAAGTATTTATAAACAGCTGTCTACGCAAAATACTCAACATTCATTGGCCGGATACTATCAGCAACAGCGTTTTATGGGAGAGGACAAACCAGCTTCCAGCTGAAGAGGAAATTAGGAGAAGACGTTGGAAGTGGATCGGACATACACTAAGGAAATCACCAATGTGCATCACGACTCAATCCCTAACTTGGAATCCGGAAGGGAAGCGGAAAAGAGGAAGGTCAAAGAACACATTACTTTTGGAAATAGAAGCAGATATGAAAAGGATGAATGTTAACTGGAAAGAATTGGAAAGGATTGGCTGGGACAGGGTTGGATGAAGAATGGTGGTGCGCTCCTCGACGAGGGGTAACAGGAGTAAGTATGTAATAGTATTATAATTATAAATATTATTTTTGAATTGAGCTTACTTCATTAATTCTATAGAATCTAATTTAGCTTTCTCAATGTCACGATTAAAACGAATTTGATGAATTCGTAATTTCCAATAATTAAAACAAGTTTTTTTCAAATGAAATTCAACTTTTGCTTCGAACATTGTAGATTGAATTTTTATATTATAAATTAAATGATACCATGCATTGAATATACATTTCATCTATTAAAAGAATTTTTTTTAAAAAACAACCCTGAAGCATAAATAGAATACAAAGCATTTTTAACAAGAATCGTTCACTACTACTCACTGCAACGCCGCTGCTTCCAAAGGTTATCGTGCGCTATGGTCACTTAGCCGAGCATTTAAACGCTTTGACGAGGAGATGTTTCGAATTTTATATCCCACCCTCGTAAGACCACACTTAGAGTGCTGTATCCAAGCAGCTAGCACAGGTCTGATAAAGGATACTAAATCACTTGAGTGTGTCCAGCGTGTAGGGACAAAATTAGTGAAAGGTCTTTCTAAACTCCCTTACGATGAGCGTTTAAAACGTCTAAATCTTTTCCTCTTGTCTTATCGTAGGACGCGAGGTGACCTTATACTGGCATTTCGTATCTTTAATTCTGATTTGAGTGTTAATGTCTTATCTTTTTGCTCCCTCCAGCACTAATAATCTCCGAGGTCATAGCAAGAAGGTTCACAAGCTGCCATCTAATAAACTAAAGGTGGGGTTCTGTTTTTCTCATGGAGTGGTCAATGACTGTAACGCATTACCCGAACAAGTGGTATCAGCCCCATCAGTGAACATTTTCAAGAAGCTGGATCTTTACTGGAAGGCGATCTGTTAGGGTTAATACAGGTTCATCAACCTACTATCCTTATTACTGAAGACTGGAGACTGATAAGTCATTGATTGAAATATCATAGAAGTCCAGTAAACATTTTACAGCTGTTTTGTTCTAGCATAAAACTATTCAATGATTCAAAACCACGATGATATTTGAAGTATAGTCTATAATAAGTATGTCTGCAATTCTCTTACTTTGAGACTGATGAGTTGAAATTCATTGGTTTAGTACCATTAGGTATTCCTTAGTTTTCACTACTTCTCAAGTTTATATCAAAATGTAATGAAAACCAATTTTAAAACCGAACTAATCCGGTAAAACTAAAAAATACTACCCAGAAAATGATGAACTTACAAGCTGATTTCAGTTCATGGCTTATTTATTAAAATGGGTTTAGAAACTCTTGTTTGGAATACAAATTAAGAATGAAGGTTAGGACTCAAATTACAAAATGACATCAAGTCTAACCTAATGTCTGTAAGCTGCATATTTTAAGTCCTAATGTCGTGAGTAATTCATTTATCTCTTCTGGCTCCTGACAGATTAAACAGGTTCAGATCCCAAGGTCGTTTGAGATTATAGTTCGGCTTGACTAAATCTCTTAACCAAAGTGTAACTATGATGCATACTTTATCACTGAAAATAATAGATTTAGTAGCATATGAGTAATATTCTAGTGTGTTAGTCGATGAACAATAACGTAGAAGTAGGTAGCTTTAGTTTATGAGTTCCAAATACAACGGAGCTGACAACCTAAATTCTATCTCCATCCGTTATCCCCAATATGATACATATGGTACATTTTGCGTTAATACCATAGTAAAAAGATTGATAATACTTTTGGAAAAATTATAGTTCTCCTAATCTACCTGTATATATTGGTCATATCAATTCACATTGCATAATAATTTTTAAAATGATATGAGTTATTCCAAACAATTGATGAAGTAAAGTGTGGAGACTTAGACCCATAGTGGTCAATAATTCCACTAAATAAATTGTCCAACAGGTATTTAATACATGGTTCTTGACGTAGTTAATTTTCTGACGATCAATTAAATGAAGGTACATAGACAAACATCGATGCAAATACAAAATCTTGACAGGCCCTGTATCTGACTAAATATTATTAAAAACGAATGTAAATTATTCGATAATTTTAAACTATTCAAACAGTGTTATTCTGTGGAACCATTATTACAGTATACATTAGTTTACCTCAAAACTAACTTAAAGTTCTAACAAGTGATTCTCTACAATTTTATCCATCATAAATGTGTATCATTATTAAATATATTACAGATAAAAAGAAATAAATATTTCTATGGTTGATATCATGAGTCAATTGAAGCTAGACCACCATGGAAAACCTGGAAGCACTAGACGGCCGTTTCGTCCTATTGTGGGTTAAGCGCTCTGGAGCGAGACTGGTAGGTCATGAGTTCGAATCTCGTGAGGCGGGATCGTGGATGCACACTGTTGAGGATTCCTGCAATGTGACGAAACAGCCAGAAAGTGCTTCCAGCTTTTCCATGGTGGTCTAGCTTCAATTGACTCATGAATTCAACTATGGGAATACAGAAATCTCCACAAAAACAATTTCTCAAAAATAAAAATTTTCATATCCATTTTGTTTAAATTCATTAAATAACATAACAGAAATAATTAATAATTCGTCTCACCAAATCTTTCTCACTTGTATTCTGATGAAATTGTACAATTCCAGTAGTTGTAAATGATTCATTTTCATCAACTGAATTAACAGAAAGACATGTAAGATCTAACTGAGGAACAGGATAGATCGAATCAGCAACAAATTTGTTTCCAATCTGAGAATTCCTTTAACGAGTAAAAGAAGGAAAATTAAAAAAAAAGAAACTCAGAGAGAAGAAAACTGAGCATCTACATTAAAAAACATGAAACAACGTCTATCTGTATATTTCAAAAACTGAGGAGAAAGAATATGGAATTCAAAGTGGATACAAAAGCACTGCCTCCAGGGAGAATTGAACTCCCGACCCCTGGTTTACTAGACCAGTGCTCTAACCACTGAGCTATGGAGGCGCGGCAATGTGCCAACGACACCAGCCTCAACACAACACAACTCACAAACATACTACACCAACCATCAACACACACACACACACACACAATCACACACTATCAACTCAAAACAAACACAAACAATACACGTCCTACAACTGACTCCGTCCACTCTTCCAAACATCACATTCATGCATCAACAACAAACACCAACATCACTGATTAGACTACCACATAACTAGTACGACACCTGAAAATCACACATATTATCAAATAACATCAACCTATTCCCACTTACTACAGACACCTCCGAATCACACCAACCCATTCATCATCATTAGTATTATTATCATCAACAAACACCTTAACAATTCGCTCCATGCTTGATCAATCACTCGAAATCCATTCTGCATATTTATATATGTATATCTATGTAGATGCAAATATCTACACATATAGTTATTCGTAAATACATATAAATATATACTGGGGCACTACTTCAATCATTTCACTACGATCTCTCACTGTTCAGATTGGCAGCAGTGACAGTAGGATAATAACAATCCTCAAATCTCTTGTTCTATAGACACGAGCGAATTCGGAACGAAATGCATCACAATGAGCTCGCCAATTCATAGACAAACTGATATCTTAGCATCGTCACGTGTGGCGTAATTCCACAACAAGTTGTCATGCTGAAACACAAGCCAACCTGAAACAGCTGCTCACATGACTAGCTCGTATTAGCGCATACATTCCACACACTCACCTGAAGCCCTAATCCTACCAGACAGGGAAGATCACTGACGAATGTCTCATGCCGATCAGGTGACGACGTGGTGGCAATCCATGGAGAAGCCCGTGACGACTGATGTTCACTTCTTCCGTGCTCTATGCAAACCGTCTAAACTCTGGTTTACCAACAAGTCTCATCAAAGCCTATCTTTACATATTCCTGTTGTGTCGTGTGTGTCTGAGAATATCTATCAAATGTTTGTGTAGACGAATTGGTGTGGGGAGAGCGAAAATCGCATCACCACGCCCACCAACCGACCGAATACTCAGCTCCACTATCCACTCTTCAACAGGTCGATACCTTACCCCTAACAAAAGTGTTGCCGAAGTACACAAACAGTCGCACAATTCCGTGGAGATAATATTCTCACTTGATATGCTCCAAGTGCATTGGAGTCGAGTGAAAAACAGGTTTCCGATGATTCGCTCGTCTCTCGCTGCATCGCTCAACATTCAATGCTTCTGGTTGAGTGAGTTCGTGTTGAAGTTAACCAGACGCGAGCTCCTCAATTATTTCCACTGAGTTCAACTGACGACAGGGTATGACAGTGCTGTTGATAGGTGGATATATAATATCATCAGCTCCAGTGTTCCAATTCATTGATCGTCGCGCACTATTTAAAAGGACAGTGGTATTGTTTCACGTTGAGTTTAATTCACTGTTTTGATCGTAAATTACGTATCAAAACTACCGTTTACACTTTAATTGAATTTATTTCAGTTAACGTGACATTGTATTTGTGTGTTCTGATTCTGCTTTTGTGTATTTACTGCATCAAAGCATTCTTGGTCGACTGAGGCTTGTTTATTTGATAAGGTTGTGATTTATCTTACATATCTACCCTGCCTATCATTTTGTTTTATTCTAAGATGGTCGGCTCTGTACACAAGTGTGGACAGCCATATTGCCTATTTCCCGTGGAAGAAGGGATGCAATGTGACGATTGTAAGAAGTGGTTTCATAAAATGTGCACCCGTTTAAGCCCTGCTGCCTATAAAAGGTGCTCGAAACCAAATTCTCATTGGCTCTGTATGTTTTGTTGCTCAAGCAAGACATTACTCATTCAGGAAGCCATCAGCCTTCTAGCGTTAGCTAAAAAGGTCGAAGTAGGCCGTGCCGGCAACATAGATACTGATAATGAAGATTGTATCAGTGTCGTAAATGCCGCCATGGCAGGTACCAGACACCCAATTTCGCAACAGGAAGCAAAGATTTGTACTCCGGTACAACCAGTGAAAGCCATGCCATTTAGTACTGAGGGACCAGTCACTTTAGCAGCGACTGAGGACCCGGCTAGAACCACTATCGTCCAGAATAGTTCCAATCTGGATGCTGAGAATAGTGGCAAATGGATTACGCGGAAACGCAAAAGAGACGGAAAAACACCCAAAGAAAGCGCGCGTATAGTCGGTAAGTCATCGTTGGACTCACGTCCTAAGCATCAGGCAACTCCGCTCAAGTCCAAATGTAAGGAAATAATTAATACTGTTGTGGATGGAAATAGTCTAACTTCACCAAATGTTGTTGGGAGTAACTCGCTTGACCCACATGACACTGTCATAAAGAAAGCTAATAGCAAGAAGCCGGTAGCTAACCGGCAGGATCTGACATCACGGTCAAAGGCCGTGAACACGACGTTTAAGGCAGTTAAACAGGTGCCTAGTATAATCATCTGGAACTTGGCAGAATCGAAAGACACTGATCCCGCTAAGAGACATGCCCACGACCTGCAGTTAGTGGGATCTCTCATCAGAAATATACTGCCAGAGGAGGTCCCAGGGGTACATATCTCGAAAGTCATCAGACTTGGTAAGTATGTTGGAGGCGAAACCCAACAGAGAAGGATCCTCAAATTAGTACTCGGTAATTTTGAGGAACGGGACGTATTACTAAATAACTCACGCAAAACTCGTGACTCAAACATTCGTATTCGACCTGACTGGCCACTTGAGGATCGGATCAAGTGGAAGAATGCCCTAACAGAGTTAAAAACTCGAAGGTTAAACGGTGAAGCGAACCTTATGATTAAGGGTTTTCGGGTAGTCAGGTCTTGGAAGCCAATGCTTCCGAGACCTGTGTGGGTAGAACGCATGTCTCCAAAAACACCCTAAATGTGTGTTATACGAATGCTCGTAGTCTTCGGAATAAGATGTCTGAACTAAGTTTGATGGTACACGACTTAAATCCGGATATAATTGTTATCACCGAAACTTGGCTCACTGTAGATATAGACTGTTCTCCAGTCATTTCAGGCTACATCTGTGTCAGAAGTGATAGAGTTAGAAGTCGCAAGGGAGGAGGCATAATATTATATATCAGGGACCACTTCCGCATTAACTCGATCATATCGGAGGCGCATGTAAGTGGTACGTGTGAGGTAGTATGTTGTACAATTAGGTCTAGAAACGGGTTAGTGACGATAGGAGGAATTTATCGTAGTCCGTGTTGTCTCGCTGACGACTTTATCCTAAAACACGTCTGTTCTTGGAGTAAAGCAGAATGTTGTCTCATCGTTGGAGATTTCAATGCACCCCATATAAACTGGATAGAGCTCACAGCTCCAGGTGGGGGTTTCGATAGCGTCCTTCTGTCATCAATTATTCAATGTTCACTTGTACAATGTATCCTTAAGCCAACACATATAGACTTGGAACATAATCCGTCATTGATAGACCTTGTCCTCACACACCACTGTGAAGATATCGTTGACATTCAACATCTTCCCCCACTGGTGAATAGTGACCATGTCGTACTTTCCTTTAAGTTCCGGATACATGGTATAGAATTTGCATCAGCTCCACCCCGTCCTAATATCTGGAGAGCTAATATACCGGCAATCAGGGACTATGCTATCTCAATTGACTGGTCGGTCGATGCTGATGGATCGATTGATGATGCATGGAATAGGTTTAAGTCTACGTTCGAATCCGTAACTCAACCGTTTATCCCATGGTCAGCACGTAAGTTATCATATTGCCCTCCATGGATTAATAAGGAAACCCGGAAGCTGTTGAAGCGTAGGAAACACTTCTGGGACTTATTCTTGTCAACAGATCAGGCATCATTTAAGTGCGAATATAAAAAAATCCGGAATATATGTAAAAAGACCATAGCTAAATCCCGCACGGCTTACGAACGACAGTTGGCATACGATAGCCGTACCTGTCCGAAGCGACTGTTTTCGTACGTTAAAAGGCGGACGAAACGTAGTGATGGTATCCCCTCATTACTGTTAAGCGAAAATTAAGCTTTATTGGCTGAATCTGATCTGGCGAAAGCGGAGTTATTTGCTAACTATTTCAGTGAAGTCTACTCTACGTGTAGTGTTACAACTACTTGTCCCGTTGACAATGAGATACCAGCCATAGGACCTTTACACGTGACAGAGGATATAGTTCTTCCTTTGATAACTAACCTAAAACCTTGTAAGATACCGGGCCCCGATGGGTCACACCCACGTTTGCTGTCGTCGCTTGCGGACATTATCTCAAGACCACTCACGATGCTCTTCAACATGTCCCTTTCACAGGCTCAACTACCTAGAGACTGGAAAGACGCCATAGTTAGTCCTATATTTAAGGATGGTCAGAGACGGATAGTATCTAACTACCGGCCTGTTAGCCTGACCAGTATAGTAGTTAAGTTACTTAAAAAATTAATTCGGGCTAAGCTACTGAGCCACATTGATTCGTACAATCTGTTAACTCCCGAGCAACATGGGTTTCGTAACAAGCATTCATGCTTGACTAACTTACTCATTGCGAGAGAGGATTGGACAGCTGCACTAGACAACGGCCAGTCTGTCGACGTGATATTTATAGATTTTAGCAAAGCGTTTGATAAGGTTTCACACTTAGGTCTTATGCAAAAGCTCTCGAGCTTTGGTATAACAGGTCCTATACAGGAATGGATAGGAAGCTTCTTATGTGACCGCAGACAGAGAGTGAGAGTCAATGGAACTCTATCCGAATGGAAACCGGTCAAAAGTGGTGTACCCCAA